GATATTCCTCTTCGCTTCTCTTTCTTCTTCTTCTTCTTCTTCTTCTTCTTCTTCTTCTTCTTCTTCTTCTTCTTCTTCTTCTTCTCTCTCTCTCTCTCTCTCTCTCTCTCTCTCTCTCTCTCTCTCTCTCTCTCTCTCTCTCTCTCTCTCTCTCTCTCTCTCTCTCTCTCTCTCTCTCTCTCTCCTCTCTCGTCAATAAAAAACATATCCTCAGGTGCAGATTAAAAAACAAAGGATCCAATGTGTATCTGTTCAGAAATATGAATCTGTTGAGGTTCCTAACTATTCAAGTTGTTTTCTGACTCTGAGGCAAGGGCTATTTCATGACAGTGGGATTGAGCCCCAAGAGTGTAGCACTAGTGTTAATAAGAATAGAAATGCCATTACGCTCAATTAATATTGACAAAGAAGGCAAGAGCATACGATGGAACTAAGACAGTATCTTCAATAAATGGTGTTGGGAAAATTGGACAGATATATATAAAAAAATAAAACTAGACCATCAACTTATACCATACACAAGAATAAACTCAAAATGGATAAAAGACTTAAATGCAAGTAGCGAAACAATAAAATCCTAGAAGAAAACATCTATATAGATAAAAATCCAGAGACCGTAATGCTGTCACTATGACACCCATTGGGGCCAGCAAACCAGCCTGATCCAGTCCAGATCACCCCCTGCACCCCAATCAGGGCAGGACCAGCCCGTCAACTGCCTTGGCTAGCAGAAATTTGGGGTCCGGGGACCTCGGAGTTGCTCTGTCTTGGGCAGCTGCATGGGCAAAGCTTTCCTTTGGTGGAAGTGGACCTGGGATCAGGGCGGGATGGGTGGGGAGGCTTTCCTGGTAAGACTTCAAAAATGTCTATTACACATAGAAACACATTTCCCATGGCATTTCATTGTTTGGGTGTTGCTAGGAGTTACGGCCAGCTTTCCCTTCTCACTAATATGGACATATTTTCCAGCTTCTGAGGTGTCTCTCATGTAGACTGTCCTTGAGAGTTTACACTCTGTGAGGACCCCTTTACTTAGGCCTGGGTACAGCTCATTGAGGCGAGTTTCTATTAAACAGATTTATACTTTTTTTCTTTTTTTTGAGAGAACACCTTCAAAAGTGTTAGGTCTGATCAAATAATTGAATAGAGACCCCAGAGCCAGGGAAGGTATGAATGGCATAAATGCAGCCCACCTGAGATCTAACATTGGCTTGTACTGAAAATGGCAGTGGCTGAATGACCTTCCTCTACGTGGGACCTTCAGTTGTTCATCGTAATGGAAGGAAGGTAATCTGCTAAGATGGTGTCCACTGACAAACCCAGGACTGTAACTCCTCAAGTAAAAGCTATAAAGGGAAAACCATTTTTTTTTCCTTGGGTTTAGAACCTGAATAAACCATGTTAGTTTCAGGAACACCTAACACTGACCCTGGTGGGTAATTCAATTGGTGGAGCATTGTCCCCAGTCACCAAGGTTGTGGGTTCAATCCCTGGTGGGAGCAAGAAATTGATGTTTCTCTTTATCCCCCCCAAAAAATCAATTAAGGAAAACCAAAACACCTAAGACTAAGACAAAATGAAATGAAAATAAAAGATTAAAAAAAAAAAAAAAAAAAAAACCCTGAAAGAGAAAAAGCGCGCCTTCCTGTCTTCCTAATGTTAGGGTCACCAAAGGAGGAATGCAGGAGGCCAAAAGGGTAAAGATTTATGAATTTATTAGGTCATCTATATACCAGATGGGCTGAGCCCCAAAATGGTGCCAGTCCCCAAAGTCAGAGGTTTTAAAGGACTCTAGGCAGGCTTTTTCTGGGCAGAGAATTCTCTGTGCAGGTCCTAAGGGGAAAGACAATGGTCTTGGCAAGTGGTAAGCAAGTAAAGGGAATGTCTGTTGTGAAGTGGTCTAAAGGTCAGTTCCCTGGGGAGGGGTGTCTATTCCGTTATTTGATCAGACCTGGCCCTCCGGCCTTTGTGTTTTATGGAAGAGGGACGAAGGTCATGTCTTCTGTATCTACTTCCTCTGAGGGGGGACGCTGAGGTCACAGGGGAGCGGACTGTGATAGCAGTGGGCTGGACGAGGGAGGGTTGCAGCAGCATGGTTTCCCCAAGGGACTGGTAGGTGAAGGCTTGAAAGTGGTCCTGAGTGACTTGGGAGGTAAAAGCTGGTCCTGAGGCTGCCACAGCGGCACTTGTCTGGTTTTGCTGCTTTTCTGAGCCTGAAGCTGAAATACAACTGAGGCCTAGATGTTATCTTTAGGGAGGAAAAGATCAGGGGTCTAAACTGCCCAACTTACTGGAGACAAATTGTTTTATACATCTTAATATTACTGGGGCAAAAACTAGAAGAACAAGAATTATGACATGCTCTAACCAGGTTGGCTCAGTGGTAGAATGTTGGCCTGTGGACTGAGGGTGCCAGGTGTGGTTCTGGTCAAGGGCATGTACCTTGGTTGTGGGGTGTGCAGGAGGCAGCTGATCAATGTTTCTCTCTCATCGGTGTTGCTAACTCTCTATCCCTTTTTCTTCCTCTCTGAAAAAAATCAATAAAACATTTAAAAAAGGGATTATGACAAGTGGTCTGGTGGAAGGAGGGAGAGATGAGTTTGGAGGGTTGTAGTCTGTACCAAAGTGGGCTTATTCTCTTAGTTTCATTTGTCCTTGGCTCAGAAGAGAGGGTTTACCAGGTGGTAGTGGACTGCACCTGGATTTGCTAAATGGCTGCAAACAGCTTTTTGCTATCTCAGTCTCCCTGTTCTGCTTGTCCTGGCTCACTAGTCTGTGTCATTTATATAACTTCCCCTTAACATTTCTCCCTCCAAACCTTCTATAACTGTCATGAGCCTTCTTACAATGTTCATAAACATTACTACAACTTTAACTCACTGTCTTTTTCTTTCAAAATGTATGTCCATTCTTCATGCCTTCTATTGTCAAAACCATACAATTTCTTTCCAATTTAATTAGAATTCTTAACTCTTAGAAACCTTAATTTCCAATGATAACCAAAAAGTAAACAGCCAGCATTTCTTAGATTGATATTTATCAACACATTTTAAATACACTCCTACTTTCAAGAAAATGTACCTTCAACAAAGTACAAGAGACTGTCTTTAATAAAAGCTAGAGAGAGAGAGAGAGAGAGAGAGAGAGAGAGAGAGAGAGAGAGAGAGAGAGAGAGAGTTTTATAAGTTCTTTGCTTACTAGTGTGGAGCCAATCAGATTTGTACTCAATTGCTGCTGTGGCCATTCTCTGTTGTTAATCCTCCGCTGAGGACATCATTTTCCTTAATTTTTCAGGGTCAGTGGAAAGGGGAGGGGGAGCGAAGGGGAGAGAAACATCGATGTAAGAGACTCTGCATGTGCCGGACTGGGCTGGGGATCACTCTGCAACCGAAGCACGTGCCTTTCACCGGGAATTGAACCCACGACCCTTTCCTCCTGGTGGTCCCTGAGCCCCCTCAGGGGAGGCACAGCTCAGGGGAAGCTGGACTCCCAGCTGGTGAGCACAGCAGTGATGGCAGGAGCCTCTCCATAGCACTAAGGGCCCCGTGGGGGTCCGCCTGCCGGCTTGGGCCGCTCCCAGCTCACTCCTCCCCAAGGCTATTTGCTGTGTTGGCAGCAACCCATTCTGCAGAGCGGCCTAAGCCGGCAGGCGGACATCCCCCAAGGCTCCGGGACTGCAGGAGGGTGCAGGCCGGGCTGAGGGACGCCCCCTCTCCCTCATTAGCTGTTATAACCTACTTTTGCCCACCATGTATGAAGTCTGTGCTGTCAATATCCAGCGGAGGTGGGTGGCAGGGATACTGGAACCTGTAAGCGTGCCTGGCCTCAGTGCACCCCTCCTCGTCACCCACAGGAGAGGCCAGGGCAGCCCGCCATTTCCTCTTCTCAGGTCCTCTCCTCAGCAACGCACCCACACCTGGGCGACCGAGGAAACAGAAGCCCCTTCTATGGAGAGGGGGCCGCCTCCCCAACACGCGGGCCCGCCAGGCCCAGGCCCGCGCCCCAGGCTCCTTCTGTGCCCCGCCCTCGACCACGCCCAGCCCCGGCCCCGCCCCGCCTGCTCCAAGGTCCCGCCCCCACCTGTCCATCGGCCACGCCCCGCCTGCTCCTTCCCCAAGTTGGGCTCACCAGTAAATTAATAAAAACTAATGGTTTAAAACCCAGCTTTTCCAAGAAATTAGTGTGTTTTTTTTATATCGTTGCGATGTTCTGCTTCCTTTCGTCTTCGATGTGGACCAGGAGCCCTAGAACAGCTATATCTTCCATCAAGAATTTTATTTTTTTATTATTTTTTAAATATATTTTATTGATTTTGTACAGAGAAGAAGGAAGATAGAGAGTTAGAAACATCAATGAGAGAGAGTCATCGATCAGCTGCCTCTTGCACACCCCCCACTGGAGATATGCCCGCAACCAAGGTACATGCCCTTGACCGGAATCAAACCCGGGACCCTTCAGTCCCCAAGCCGACGCTCTATCCATTGAGCCAAACCGGTCTCAGCCCATCAAGAATTTTAAAAACATGTTTGTTTCTTTAAAAAATTAAGTGTTTGTCTCCAATAGTCCCACTGGTACGGATTGAACCATTTCGTACTTCTTGGTGGGGGGCTAGGAACAGGGTGCGGCAGAGCAAGGTGTCAGGCAGGGGCTTCAGGTTCCCAGCCAGATTCAGTTACCAAACTCGCGCCCCTCCGTGGCCTGGGCGGGTGGTGCAGCCCGTGCGCCCCCCGCGGCCTGGGCGGTGGTGCGGCCCGTGCGCCCCTCCGTTGCCTGGGCGGTGGTGCGGCCCGTGCGCCCCCCGCGGCCTGGGCGGGTGGAGCCGCCCGTGCTCCCCCCGCGGCCTGGGCGGTGGTGCGGCCCGTGCGCCCCCCGCGGCCTGGGCGGTGGTGCGGCCCGTGCTCCCCCCGCGGCCTGGGCGGTGGTGCGGCCCGGCCCAGTCAGGCGCCCTGACGCCGGCGGGGAGGTGTCGCGTGAGCCGGGCGCGGGCGGCTGAGCCGGGGACTGGGCTCGCGAGGGGGCGCTGGGCGGGCCGTGGAGGAAGGCGAGTGTCCGGGGCTCGGCGGCTGCGTGCGGCCCGGGCGGGGCTCCCGGCTTCTGAGTCCGGCTGGCGGCGGGACCGTGCGGACTGAGGCCCAGGCGGCGGCTGTGCCCGGTAGCCGGCGGGGCGGGAGGGGACGTGCGGCCGCGGGTGCGAGGGGCGGCGGGTTCGGGGCCGGGGCGTCTGTGACCCGCAGGCCCGGAGCGCGGCGGGAGCGTGATGGCCGCCCGCACGGCCACGGCGCGGGGCGGGCGGGCAGGAGGTGCCTCCCCGCCGGTCACGCTGGTGTCCAGTCGCCGTGGCCGGACGGAGGGGTGAGGCGCGCCGGCGGGAGGGCGGCCTCCGGAGGGTCGGCACAGGCGCCCCCGCCGCTGCTCCGGGCGGCGGGCACCTCCTCCCGGAGGCCCAGCCGGCCTTGGTCCGCGGCCCGGGCCGGCGCTGGTCGGCCGCCCGGCGGCCCTGGGGCGGCACCGGCGGGCTCCGGCTCCGCCCTGTCCGGCCCGGCGGGGAGACCACAGCGGGGCCGGGCCGCACGCTGGCCTCTGCCGGGGCCGCGGGGAGCCTGCCGGCCGGGGGGCTGCGGGCGCCCAGCCAGGTCCGAGGCGGGGGCACCCGGGGTGACGTCAGAGGCGGCTGCCGGGCAGGGAGGGGGGCACCCGGGGTGACGTCAGAGGCGGCTGCCGGGCAGGGAGGCGGGGGCATCCGGGGTGACGTCAGAGGCGCCTGCCGGGCAGGAGGGGGGCACCCGGGGTGACGTCAGAGGCGGCTGCCGGGCAGGGAGGGGGGGCACCCGGGGTGACGTCAGAGGCGGCTGCTGGGCAGGGAGGCGGGGGCACCCGGGGTGACGTCAGAGGCGCCTGCCGGGCAGGAGGGGGGCACCCGGGGTGACGTCAGAGGCGGCTGCCGGGCAGGGAGGGGGGGCACCCGGGGTGACGTCAGAGGCGGCTGCCGGGCAGGGAGGGGGCCCCAGGAGTGCACTGGGGCCTCTGCCCGCGGCGGAGGGCCGCCGGCCGGAGTTTTCTGTTTACACGGTGAGCGGTCCCACATGGACATGGTGGAGGCTCTGGAGAAGCCGCTGCAGAAACGTGGGCTCCAGCTGGAACCCCGCCTCCGCGTTCGGGGGGAGACTGGCTGTAACGGCCACTAAGCCTCTCGCTCTGAATTCTTCACCCACAAAACAGCGGGTCTTCTGCACAGGCAGCTCTGAGGGCTCTGGTGGGAGCACAGCTCTGAGGGCTCTGCGGGGGGAGCACAGCTCTGAGGGCTCTGGGGGGAGCACAGCTCTGAGGGCTCTGCGGTGGGAGCACAGGCAGCTCTGAGGGCTCTGTGGGGGGAGCACAGCTCTGAGGGCTCTGGGGGGAGCACAGCTCTGAGGGCTCTGGGGGGAGCACAGCTCTGAGGGCCCTGCGGTGGGAGCATAGCTCTGAGGGCTCTGGGGGGAGCACAGCTCTGAGGGCTCTGTGGTGGGAGCACAGCTCTGAGGGCTCTGCGGTGGGAGCACAGCTCTGAGGGCTCTGGGGGGAGCACAGCTCTGAGGGCTCTGCGGGGGGAGCACAGGCAGCTCTGAGGGCTCTGGTGGGAGCACAGCTCTGAGGGCTCTGCGGGGGGAGCACAGCTCTGAGGGCTCTGTGGTGGGAGCACAGGCAGCTCTGGGGGCTCTGTGTGGGGAGCACAGCTCTGAGGGCTCTGGGGGGAGCACAGCTCTGAGGGCTCTGCGGTGGGAGCACAGGCAGCTCTGAGGGCTCTGGTGGGAGCACAGCTCTGAGGGCTCTGCGGGGGGAGCACAGCTCTGAGGGCTCTGCGGTGGGAGCACAGGCAGCTCTGAGGGCTCTGTGTGGGGAGCACAGCTCTGAGGGCTCTGTGGGGGGAGCACAGCTCTGAGGGCCCTGCGGTGGGAGCATAGCTCTGAGGGCTCTGGGGGGAGCACAGCTCTGAGGGCTCTGGTGGGAGCACAGCTCTGAGGGCTCTGGTGGGAGCACAGCTCTGAGGGCTCTGTGGGGGGAGCACAGCTCTGAGGGCTCTGTGGGGGGAGCACAGCTCTGAGGGCTCTGTGGGGGGAGCACAGGCAGCTGACGGCTTCCCTCCCAACACAGGCCTGTGTGTCCGGGGCACCATGAACGCCATCGTCGCCCTCTGCCACTTCTGTGAGCTCCACGGCCCCCGCACTCTGTTTTGCACGGAGGTTCTGCACGCCCCTCTCCCCACGGGGGCTGGGGACAGCCCCGGCCAGGGCGAGCAGGCCGAGGAGGAGGAGGGCGGCATCCAGATGAGCAGCGGGCTCGGCACACACAGCCCAGCGGACGGGGCGGGCACAGAGTCCAGCAGCCCGGGGCCCAAGAAGTCGGACATGTGCGAGGCAAGTGTCTGGGGCTGGCCCTTCCTCCCTCCAGGACTCGTGCTTACACTGGGGCCGCCTGGGGGCGGGCCTCCCAGCGAGTGGGCTCCCAGTGGTGTGTGCTCCATGCAGGGCCTTTGCCTCTTTATGCCCCTTTAGCTTAGCTCTTCCCTTCATCCAGCCTTCAGCCCGCCCCGGGCCAGCAGACTGTCACCACCACCACCCCCTTTGCTTGCAGCCTCCCACCACACGCCCGTGTTCACAGCCGTGTCCACATCTCCCATCGCCGGCTCCGACTGCCTCTGGCTGGTGTTCTCGGGCGCTCCCCCTCGGGGTCCTGGGCTCCTGCGGCTGCTTTACGAGCTCTGGGAGGCGGACTTTAAGTTCCCTCACAGGAGGCCTGGGCTGGGCATGGCCTCAGAGGCAGTGCGGAATTCTTGCTCACACCTGCTATACCTGCCTCTTCCTGAGACGCCTGCTCATGGCTGCGCCAGCGCCAAGGACAGATGCCAGCACAGCGCACTGTGAGCCGCTGGCAGCTGGGAGCCCCAGGGGTCCCTTCTGTATGACAGGAGTCTCACTCGTTTTCTCCTAAGCTGTCCTTCGGATTAAAGAGGTAATGTGTGTAGAGCTTCTTCTTGTTAATCCTCACCCAAGGACATTTCCCCATCGATTTTTAGAGAGAGTGGGAGGGAGGGGGAGAGAAACATCAAAGTGAGAGAGGCACATGGGTTGGTTGCCTCTCCCACATGCTCTGACAGGGGCTAGGGATTGAACCTGGAACCCAGGCTCACGCCCTTGACCAGGAATCAAACCGGTGACTCTGGTGTGTGGGCCGACACTAACCACTGAGAACACTGGCCGGGCTGTAGAGCTTCCTGCTGCCTGAGTGCTCAGTAGATTGGATCTGCTGCTCACACCTGTGAGACCTTTGTGGTCTTTGCATCCGGGCTCCTCTCGTCAGGAAGCATAGGAATCCTCAGGAAAGTACAACTAGATGCAGTTATGACTGTGGAGTCTTCGCACAGGGCAAGAGCACACGGTGCCGCTTCCCACTAACTGGTGCTCTTTTCCTTCCTGGGCAGGGCTGCCGGTCCCTTGCTGTGGGGCATCCCGGGTACCTGAGCCATGATAAAGAGACTTCGATTAAATACGTCAGCCATCAGCACCCGAGCCACCCCCAGCTCTTCAGCATCGTCCGCCAGGCCTGCGTGCGCAGCCTGAGCTGTGAGGTGGGCACTGCGGTGTGGGCGGGCGGCTGTCCTTGGAGATCTCAGAAGGGCCCAGAGGCTCTGGGAAGGAAGACAAAGTCCTGTAGGGAAGCCACGGGCAGACCCTGCGCAGGGTGGGGCCGTGGGGCGCCTTCTCCAGAACCCAAGCACGCTGTGCTGGGCTCCTGGCTTCTAAGCGCTTTCTGGCCTATCACTTTAAGCACCAAACCCGTGTTATTTGTTCATTCTTAATGGACACATTTCTGAGGTGTGGATATTTCTAGGATATGGAGTTTACCGCATCAGACACATCTTGCCCCCTCTAACATCCTGAAGAGGGAGTCCATTGTCTCTTAGCTCTGTGGCTGCCGCTGTTGCGTTTCGGTCTTAGCTGCTATGTTTCTGTCTGTCAGGAAGAACTCGTAATTCAGTGACAGATTCTGTCACCATGCCACGTGGTCAGACCACGGAGCCCCTCTCAGGGCTCACTTCTCTGCCATGTGCCCGCCTTCAGCTCTGTCCTCCCCTTGCTCTCCTCCTCCTAACCTGCTGGCGGGAGGCAGGCACGCCGGATGGGCTGTGTCAGGGAGCGAGCTGGGTCTGGGACCAGAGTCCGCTCTGCAGACGCCGCACATTATCACGAGGGCTCCGCAGGTCTCACTGCCGCTCTCAGTGCCTCTCAGGGATGCGGCAGGTAGTCTGGGTGGGTTTATTTGTGTAGCAGTTACGGCTCAGGGTAGAAAAAGTACCAAGCCCGCTTGGCTGGCCCTGGCGCTCAGGATGACAGACAGTTGGATCCCAGCCGGAGAAGAGAGCAGTTTTCCTCCCTCCCCTCTTCCCCTCCCGTCGTTAGCGGTGGCCGGAGGGAGTGGAGCGGGGCTGGCCTGTGCTGAGCAGGCGAGGACGGTCTTGCTTTGGCGCAGGTCTGCCCCGGCCGGGAAGGCCCCATCTTCTTCGGGGACGAGCAGCACGGGTTTGTGTTCAGCCACACCTTCTTCATCAAAGACAGCCTGGCCCGCGGCTTCCAGCGCTGGTACAGCATCATCACCATCATGATGGACCGCATCTACCTCATCAACTCCTGGCCCTTCCTGCTCGGCAAGATCCGCGGCATCATCGCCGAGCTCCAGGGCAAGGCGCTCAAGGTGCCGGGGCGGGCGGGCCGCAGGGCGGGCGGGCCCGCGCCGCTGCTCTGTCTGCGGTGATTGTCCTTTCCTGGCCTCGGCCAGAGCGGGGCTGGAGGCCCGGCCGTCACCAGTCAGACCGGTTGCTTTTGTGGTCTCTGATCGTCCTGGTTGGCTCAGCTCCGGCTGCTTGGCTGCCGTCAGACCTGGCTTCACCTGATGTCCTCGTCCTCTGACCTCCGTTGCACAGGCCTGGTCACTAACCAGCTGCAGACCGCCACCATGCGGCATTGCACCTCGGGGCAGGCAGGCCGGTGATGCCTGGCAGCAGTCTTCTCTGCCTCAGGTTGCTTGTTGCTCTTTGTAGCCAAACTGAGTGTTGCTCATTTGTCTGCTCAAGGGAAGTGAGGGTGCTGGTCACGTGTCCCCATATGCTCTGCATGGTGAGCCCTCCATGTGCTGGAGGGGAGGACTGGATGGATGTGGAGCATGACGGCCATGGCCTGGAGCACACCTGCCGCCTCAGGGTCTCTCCAGCGCCCAGAAGGCTGTCGCAGGAGAGGCAGGGGTGCTCCCAGGCCCCAGCCCAGCCGCTGTTGGAATCCCTGGTGCCCTGTGCTCTGCGCGGGCGGGGGACAGGCTTCTGGGCAGCACCAGGATGCTGAGCGCGGGTGCGTTGCAGGTGTTTGAGGCAGAGCAGTTCGGGTGCCCACAGCGTGCTCAGAGGATGAACACGGCCTTCACCCCGTTCCTGCACCAGAGGAACGGCAACGCCGCCCGCTCGCTCACCTCCTTGACCAGCGATGACAACCTGTGGGCGTGCCTGCACACCTCCTTCGCGTGGTAAGGAGGCCGCGGGCCTGAGAGCAGGAGGCTGGTCGGGCCTCTGTGGGGCGCGGTGTAGTGAGCCCTGACCTGCCCCGTTCTCCCTGCGGGGGCAGGGCACGTCCTGCAGAGCGCCCCTCCCAGCGATGTTGCGAAGTGCTAGTCCCAGCGTGCACCCTTCCTCCCAGGAGCACGCCTGTGCCTTCCCCTCTCCCTCTTCTTCCCTACAGGTGGCCCCTAAACTCCTAGGGCCCCCAGGAGGCTGGCAACCAGGCCCTGTGTGCAGCGCTGCTCCCGGCTCGCTCAGACTAACCCTGCCTGTCCACAGGCCCGCTTTTCTCGGACTTCTTCCTGAGCCGAAGCAGAGGCTCACTTCCCCAGCCCATCCCTCTTCTGTTGCTTCTATCCTAGGTCCTTTGTTTCACTGTCCCAGCCTTAGTAAATCCTCAAAAAAAAAAAAAAAAGCTAGGCCCAGCCGCTGTGGCTCAGTGGTTGAGCGTCTACCTATGAACCAGAAAGTCACGGTTCAATTCCCAGTCAGAGCACAGGCCCCATTCCCAGGGAGGGGTGTGCAGGAGGCAGCCAATCAGTAATTCTCTCTCATCATTGATGCTTCTGTCTCTCCCTTTTCCTTTCTCTCTGAAATCAATAGAAATACATTTTAAAAAATATATTTTATTGATTTTTTGCAGAGAGGAAGAGAGAGGGATAGAGAGCCAGAAACATCAATGAGAGAGAGTCATCGATCAGCTGCCTCCTGCACACCCCCCACTGGGGATGTGCCCGCAACCAAGGTACATGCCCTTGACCGGAATCGAACCCGGGACCTTTCAGTCCGCATGCCTATGCTCAATCCACTGAGCCAAACCGGTTTCGGCTAGAAATACATTTTAAAAATATATATTTTATTGATTTTTTACAGAGGGGAAGAGAGAGGGATAGAGAGCCAGAAACATCAATGAGAGAGAATTATCAGTCCGTTGCCTCCTACACACCCCCAACTGGGGACGCGCCCACAACCAAGGCACATGCCCTTGACTGGAATCGAACCTGGGACCCTTCAGTCCGCAGACTGACCAGTTTCGGCAATAGAAATACATTAAAAAAAAGATATTCCAAGACAAGGGATCTTCCTCCTCCTTTGTAAACGACAATGAGCATGTATCTCCCACACCTTCTGTGGGTCAGGAGTTGGAGTGAGGCTCAGCTGCCAGTTCTGGCTCAGATTCTAAGGAGGTTTTGTCACCTGGCTTGGCTTCCTCACAGGGCTGGCACGTTGGTGCTGACTGTGGGCAGGAGGCTCAGCCCTCGCTGTGCAGACAGGCGAGCTGCCTTCCCTCAGGGAGTGACCGAGGAGAGAGGGTTGGGGTATGCAAAGTCCTGACCTGGCCCAGCCCCACCCGCTGTGCCCGCTGTTGTGAGGACTGTGCTGTGTGGCCGGCATCCAGAGGAGAGGGTCCGTCCTCTGGGGGGAGGAGCCAGTGGGGTGGTGGATGTATTTGAAATGGCCGTTTGTCCTCTGGCCTTCCATTGTTTCTGTCCCTCCATGCACGATCCTCCGAAGACCCCCAGATTCTCATTCCTGTGCTGTCAGTGTGAAGTCTGGGGTCATCCTCGAAGGTCCTGGTGGGCGAGGAGCTCAGAGGGGGACCTCAAGTGCAGCTCCCAGGACCTGCGAACCCCACCAACCCCGTACATCCCCCTGGTTTAAAGATCACTCTGTCCAGGAAACTTGTAAACAGCTCCCGGGGAGTCCCAGACGGCACAGCATCCTGCCGTCCGCGCTGGCGGCTCTCAGCATGTTCCTGCTTTTCCACGTGCCCCCACTTCCTTCTAGTTTTACAGCAAATGTCAATTGTCTCATTTCAGCCATAAAACCATGAACATATCCAACAAAAGGGACTGGTTTCTTAGTACCATGCAGCCCAGTCCACGTTCACTTTTCCCGTTTGCCTCAGAAGTGACTTTTGAATCCGGTCACACACAGTGTGTGGCTTGTCCGTCCCTTGTCCGGGTCGTCTCTCGGCTGCTTCCTGTGCCTGTTGTAGGGAGCGCGGGGCGCGGTGGGCTTTGCTGATCCCCGGTGGTGGTGCTGTTTTCTGTGAGCGGGGGTGAGAGGAGAGGCGGAGGGCCAGAGACCCGCTCTGTCCTCAGGCTTCTGAAGGCGTGCGGCAGCCGGCTGACGGAGAAGCTCCTGGAGGGCGCACCCACCGAGGACACGCTGGTCCAGATGGAGAAGCTGGCGGGTAAGCAGCGCCCGGCGCCCGTGCGCCTCCTGCAGGCCGGCGGGCGCTGACCGGGGCCCGGGGGTAAGCCCGTGAGGAGCCTGCAGAGGAGCTGGCCCAGGCGCTCCTGTCTGATTTCCTGTCTCATTTTCCTGGACAGCCCAGGAGAGTCTGGCCCAGGCCCGGGAAAACCCTGTGGGGCGTCAGTCTGTCAGGACTGGCTGACGGGAAGCTTTCTGGTCCCTGTTTTACCGTTAACCACGTGCTGGGCCTTTGCAGACTCTCACTCTGCTCGTCAGTAGAGGGCTGTGCTGCGCACCCAGCAGGGCCACACTGCTCTCGGCCCCAGAGACCCAGGGCTCCATCGGGCGGCGGTCCCCACACTTCGCTGTCCCGGGCCGCCCTCTCGGGGGTCGGCTCTTGGTGTCGGGGCGCAGGGCCTGTGCGCTGAGGAGCTCCCCAGGGGCTGGTGCCGAGGACAGCAGCCCGGGACCCCTGGTCTCGCCGCTGTGCTTTACTCCAGAGGGCGGTCACTGGGGCTTGAGGTCTGGTGTCAGCGGCGTGGTTGGTAGATCTGACCGTGAGGCGTGTGTGTATGGCTCGTTACTCACCCTGCTGGAGTGCTGCGGTGGAAATAACTGACCTTAGATCAGTGGAGCTGTCTCCAGGCCCCTCTGCAGTCAGTTGATTGCCACATGCTTGCACGCAAATCCTCTCCTGAGTAGGAAAGAAGAGATAGAATTCCAGCGAGAGAAGAAGATACTCAGAAAACTTTGCAATCATAGTCCATTGTTGTAGTGATTCTGAGTTCCAAGGCTAGTGAAGATGGTGAGAGGTACTTCTGCAGAGAGCCCAGGCACCCGGACAGACTTCAGGCCTCCTGTCACATCTTGGTCGGAGTCCTGGTCATAGGAGGCTCAGAGCACAGGCTCTGAGGGCGGCTGACCCATCTCAGGGCCTGCCTTCTGCTCTGTTCCCTGTGCTGGGCACGGCTCTCCCCGAGGGCCGCACCGGGTGAAGGTGTATGCAGACTGACTGAAATTTCAGACATTTCTTTATCTTTAAGTGAGGAGGACGGTGAGAAAGCCCTGGAGGAGTGCCGGCTGTGGGAGCAGCTCACAGGCCTGCAGGCCCTCCCGGCCCGCCGGCTCCGGGGCGAGAGCAGTGTGGCCCTGCTGGGTGCGCAGTGGGGAGAGCTTCGTCCTGTGCGCTGCATGGCCACGGGTTTGATTACCATCAAGAGCATGGACCTGGGTTGCAGGTTCCGTCCCAGCCCTGGTTGGGGGTGTGTGAGAAGCAACCAATCAATGTCTCCCCCCCCCCCCCTTCTGCTCTAAAAGTCAATGGGAAAATACCCTCGGTGAGGATTAACCACAGGAAGGAGTGGTGGAGGCGGCTGGCCCAGACCAGAACCACGGTCTCTAATAGCTTAACCAAGAGGTGCATTGGGCTGAAGTGGTCACACAAGGAGACCATTGCAGCCAGGAAGTGGAGTCCAGGGGCAGCAGGCGTCACAGCTGTCTTCGTTGTCCGTCTTGCAGATTTAGAAGAGGAATCCGAAGGCTGGGACAACTCCGAGGCTGAGGAGAAAGCCTCTGTCCTGCCAGAGGGCGCGGAGAGGCGGGAGCTGAGCAAGTGCCCCACAGGCTCCTCCTCGCTCTCAGACTGTGAGAGCTGGCAGCCCCGGAAGCTGTCCGTCTTCAAGTCCCTTCGGCACATGAGGCAGGTAGGCAGCAGAGGGTAGAGTCCCGTCCTCCACTTCACCCTCCAGCACGCTGGTCCTTGGGGCTCATGGTGTTGAATCGGCAGGGACAGGTGGTTAGAGTCACCAGCAGCCTCCTTGTGGCCGCGGGTTCCATACCCCGTCAGGGGATGTGCAAGAATCAACCAGTGAACGCATAAATAAGTGGAACGACAAGTGGATGTTCCTCTCTAAAAAAGCAGTAACTAATATCCTTGAGGAGATTAAAAACACGGGGGGAGAAGGCTGGTCTGGATGAGAGCAGTACGGGCAGGGCGGGGATCGGCGAGGTGGGGCGAGGCTGGTGGACAGCGCTGGTGGAGAGGACGGAGCCGTCTGCCCCGGATGCTGGTCCGCCGTGCGGGGTGGCGTGAGGCTGTGTGGAGACCCTGCTCCCGGAGCGGCGGTGTCCTGAGCCCTGCCCTCGCTGGCAAGTGGTCCAGCAGAGTGAAGCGTGTCCAGAGAGAAGGCAGATGTTGCTCATGCCTTTTCTGCTTCAAGGCTCCGAAAATAAAAATGGGAAAAGGTCTTATATAATGTGCAAGAATTTTGGGATCTGGATTTTAGGCACAAATCTGGGGACTACTATCTGCCTTCTTCTGACCTTGGCAAGCCGCTCAGCCACCCCGAGGATCTAAGTGGCTTCTCGTCTTTGACCTGTCTTCCTTGACCATCCAGAGAAGGTTCCAGATGGACACGCAGGTAGCATCCGTTGGACAGGATGCACATTCAGGGCAGAGAGCACTGGGCTCTGTCTTTCAGGTCCTGGGTGCCTCCTCTTTTCGCATGTTGGCCTGGCACGTTCTCATGGGGAACCAGGTGATCTGGAAAAGCGGGGATGCACACCTCGTCCTGTCCGCGTTTGAAGTCCTCCGGGTGAGGCGTCTCTTCTCCTTCCTTGTTTGTAGGGATAGTGTTTGCTGGGTGGTTCTGAAAACACCCTGACTTTGGGAGTGATTGTCAGGGTGCATTGATGCTCCTTCCTGAGATTCGTGTTTCCCTCCACTATTAAAAATGACAGTTCTTTATGGCTTTGTTTGTAGTGGAAGGAGTCTGTACTTCCTGAGAGATTGAGAACTAATGACCCTCTCTCCTGTCCTCACCCTGGGTCCCTCGCAGACCATGGGAGTGATCACAGCTGCGGAGGAAGCAGCTGTCCCTGCACTGCCTCTGTGCAGCCCTCGATGAGGGGCGAGGGGCAGCATGCTGGTCCCTCCCAGAGGGTCTGGCTCGCATGTGTTTAAGTCACCAGAAAGCATGAATGCCTGCCTTCTGCTGCATAGGCCTGTGAGGGCCCAAAATGAATATGACAACCTCTCAGCGTATAATCTCCGTGGGTGAGGGAAGAGACAGTTATCTGAGAAATAAAATAATTATTTAAGAACTACAGGCCCGAAGCATGACAATTTATGCACTGGAGGGGGCCCCTCAGCCCGGCCTGCTCCTCCACCGTCCAGGAGCCCTCGGGGCAGAGGCAACACCCCATCACACCTCTGCTGCTGCCACTGCCGGCAGTGCAAGCCTGGCTGGCCCTAGGCAGCTGGGGGACTCAGTAGGCAGGCCATGCCACACGTCTGTGCCCCAGTGGCGCTGAGGGGACTGGGCACCACCATCTTGTGGCTGTGGACTCTGCCGTCTTTGAGGGCATGGCAGTCAATTAGCATATTCCTCTTTTATTAGATAGGATTAACACCACAGAGCAAAGGCAGCACAAGGCCAGTGGCCGAGTGACCAGGGACGCCCGGGAGGAGGGAGACTGGATTGCGCTGGAGAGGGCCCTGGAGGGTGGGTGATGGACCCGGGCAGGGCCAGGGTGTCCACCTGCTCGGTCTGAGTCCCCCTCTCCTCTGCAGACCATGCTGCCCGTGGGCTGTGTGCGCATCATCCCGTACAGCAGCCAGTACGAGGAGGCCTACCGCTGCAACTTCCTGGGGCTCAGCCCCCGCGTGCAGGTCCCCGCCCACGTGCTCTCCTCAGGTGCGTGCTCTCCTCCCGGGTGTCACCTGCTGGTCCTGGGAGCCGGGGCCCGCATTGCAGGGCCAGCTTTCCAGTGTCATAGCCCTCTGGTTTCTGCCTTTAAAACGAGGAGGGCTGGACGGACAGCTTCGTGAGGGGCTCACGGGCCTGGCTCTCGGGTGGGCGGCCGCGGTCTGGAGTGGGACCAGCACCAGTGGCTGTCAGGGCTGTGGTTGCGTCCAGGCCCGTGAGTCTGATGCCGTCGAGCTGGGGGCTTGCTGGGCCACCTTCACAGTTCACGCATCTCCTTTGTTCTCATGTTCTGTCCTCCTTCCTTGTCCTCAGGTGTTCTCTTCCTTGTACACGCCTTTTTAAAACAAGAGCTTGTTTGAGCCAAAACTGGGCTCAGGTGCTCCCCTTCTCTAGACCTTAAATGCCTCTTTCGCACCCATTGTTCAGCCGGTTTTGCCCTCAGTGCCCACGGGCTTACTGCCGAGAAGCTAATCGGCACCCCTCACTTTGTTCAGGAAGCTCAGGAGTCAGCGTGGACGCATCGCAGTGCCCACGGGAGCCCTGCGCCGGGCAGAGGGAGGACTGCAGGCGTCCGGCCTCGGCACCAGCTGGGTCTTGAGCGCTCGAGAGGCAGAGCTGTGTCCTGGGTCCAGTTCAGAGTGCAGGCCCTGGTTTCAGGGCGGGCTGAGAGCCTTACCACTTCTCGTGGCTTCTGAGTCCATTTCCCTCTCTGTAAAACGGGGGAATTGTGGCACCTCTCTCTGGCGGTCGTAGGGCTGTTCAGTATATAACTAGTAGTTATTGTGAAACAATAGGTGGTTAGTCTACCCGAGGCCAAAGTTAACCCTTCACTATTTACAAATAAGCCGCAGGAAGCTCTTGATGCCCAGTGTCAGTCTCCGGAGATGGGTTTTCCTGGGTGGTTTGACGGCAAGCAGCGATGGCTGCTGCCGAGTGGGGGACACTCCCTGGAGCAGTGCGTTTGTGTTGCTACAGAATTCGCTGTCGTAGTGGAGGTCCACACAGCCGTTCCCTCCAGCCTCCCCCTGGCCGGGTGCGAGGACGACCAGTCTCTCAGCAAATACGAGTTTGTGGTGACCAGCGGGAGTCCTGTGGCTGCAGACCGAGGTGGGTGCTCCTGGGCGGGCTGCCTGTGCCAGAAGGAGCGCGGGGAGGGAGTGTGCCTCCCTCCTGCTCTGACTCCCTCCCCGCCCCGTCCACCTCCCGTTCCCAGTGGGCCCGACCATTCTGAATAAGATGGAAGCTGCTCTGACCAACCAGAATCTGTCTGTGGACGTGGTTGACCAGTGCCTCATCTGCCTCAAAGAAGAGTGGATGAAGTAAGTACCGGCCGCTGCACTCCTGGGGGGCTCATTGCTGAGGGGAGGGCTGGGTTGCCAGCAGCAGTGTGTCTGCGAAGGAGAACCAGAAGCTGTTTTCAAAGAAAGAGGTGAAGCTGTGGCTACCAGAGAGGCAGTTGAGAGCACACATTAAGGGTGAGTTCAAACACCAGCTCCGCCACGAATATATTGGCTGGTGACACCAGGCAATGACAGGTGCCCCGAGCCTCAGGCTGCTCCTCTGAGACGGGGTGACACCTGCCTCCAAGGGAAGCATTTATTTTTGCTGCTTAATTAACTTTAAAAATTCCGTTTCACGAAAACAAGTTAATTTATTTCCTTCTGCCTTCTTAGTAATTTTTTGTCCAATTTAATGAGTAAAGTATTATCCTGATTTCAAATAATATAAAAGCTTAGGATCAATCAAATTCTTTCATGAATTTAAGGGAAATTTTTTTCCTCCTTTCCCCCCATTTTGATACACCAGCCGCATTGCCCAAGGCTGTGCCTGATGGGCAAACTGGAGACCCTAAGGTGCTGCTGTGCTGTCCCTTCTGAGGGTTTGAATTCCAGCTCTGCTTGCAGACGAGAGCTCAGTGATTGTGCTGTGGCATCTGAGTGTTTTGTTTGGTTTTCTGCAGCAAAGTGAAGGTCCTTTTCAAATTCACCAAGGTGGACAGTCGGCCCAAAGAGGACACGCAGAAGCTCCTGAGTATCCTCGGAGCGTCCGAGGAGGACAACGTCAAACTGCTCAAGTTCTGGATGACAGGCCTGAGCAAAACCTACAAGTCCCATCTCATGTCCACGGTCCGGAGCCCCCCGGCCACGGAGCCACGTAATTGACCCACCGTGGAAGTCTGTCTGCGATGCCCGCTGGGAAGTGGTGATGGCCACCCTTGCCATCGCACTCAGAGAGTGGGTGTCTGGTGGCCATCATAGGCTGTCCCATCCTGCACTGCTGGCCCGGAGCTGTGTTCTCGCTGGGAATGTGACTGTTGGGGCTGGCCTGTGCCTGTGTGCGGGGTTTGGGTGTGGTGAGTTCTTGGGATCACCCCACCAGCTGTTTCCATTGCTCCGGCCTGAAGAGGACGTGGAGACTTGTGACAAGGACAGGCCCTGTGTCAGAGCCCCTGTGAGAGAGAAGACTAAGGAAGCCGTGTCTCCTTTCTCCTGGACTTAGATCTCAGCTTCTACAGGAAGACATGTCAGCCAGTCCTGACCTGGGTATTTTAGCCACAACATCATGCTTTCCCTTGGGGCTAACATTCAATACTTTGCTCTGTAATTCAGCAGGAGTTGTCCAGGGATTAAACGCACACATGTACTACCGGTCATTTTTAGAAGCCTGGTTTTGGTTAGGGCTCTGGGACAGGCTTTCAGGGTAGAGAGGAGGTGTTCCTCATCGTTGGAATATGGGAATGCATGTTCTGAAATCATGTGACCACCAAGTCTTCTGGCTGTGCTGTCCTAATGTTGCTTTGAAATTACCCATAGTTTGAGGTCAAGCCCCTGATCTTTGTTGCACAAAGATGACATTTTGCCGAAATGTTCAGTGCAGCCATTTGGCCCAGCTCACTGTGTATGATCCATGTTACTTTGTTTCTATTGCTTCTTTACACATTCACATTTGGCTCAGTTAACCTTCAGAGCATGGAGACTTAAGATCATTTCATCCTCTCTGTGCATTTTTTATAAGGGTTCATGGTTTGAGGGATTTTCCAGCAGTTTTGCTGATTTGTTTAGTTTTTTGTTTGTTTATATGTAACATGAAGACTAAGTCTATGACTAGGTGTTTGTATTATGTAAGAACATTGAAACAATAAATATATATTTTTATAAAATATTGACCACATGGTTTCATAACTAAAGTTTTCTTGGGATCAATCACAGAAAATATGGTTAAAATAACACCGGTAATGATATAATTATTTTGAAACTTGAATCTATGAAAGGCTTACAACTTCCAGGGAAAGACTGGTAAACTGGTTAATTTTGGTCAATTTAAGCTCTTGGCTCAGTAGCAACTACCTCTCCACTACTCCCTGCTGCATAGCAGGCAGCGCTCAGCAGCTTTCACACAGCGTGGGAGCGAGAATGGTGAAAGGGACCCGTCCTATTAGGAGTCTGTGCTTCCATCACTGATTGCTACTTCCCATCACAAAGGTGCAGGCAAAGAGGTTGGCAGACGTTGTTGTTGCACCTCTCCCCTTGTTGCAAGCCCCTCCTCTAGCTGAAGTGACTAGCAGACTTAATGGCCTATGAGAAAAATACACTTCTGGCCTAGTCTTGACAAAGAGACAGCTGACAACAATAAAAGTAAGTGGCCGAACCGGTTTGGCTCATTGGATAGAGATCGAAGGTTCGATTCTGGTCAGGGGCATGTACGTTGGTTGCCAGGAGGCGGCTGGTCAATGTCTCTCTCTCATCGATGTTTCTGGCTCTCTATCCCTCTGCCTTCCTCTCTGTAAAATATCAATAAAATATATATATTTTTTAAAAATAAGTGAAAATAACAAAAGACAACAAAACTTCAGGGAGGAGTATCTGATTTTCTTCTGTGTGTGTGTGTGTGTGTGTGTGTGTGTGTGTGTGCACTAGCACGTTTATGGCCTCTAGCGTGCGACAGCGCGGTGAGGAGCAGGCGCTGCCGGCTCTAACTCTGGTGGGAGCGGGAGAACAGAGGGCCGAGGCCACGGAGACCTTCCGCTCGGGGAGACGGCGAGGGTGGCACGAGCTGGCTCTTCTCTCGGGAGGTGTCGGGGCGGCGCTGCTACTCCAGGGCTGCGGGGAGGGCGGGCAGAGGGCGGAGGGGGCCGTCCGGGAGGCAGAGGACCCCGTGCCCCCCCTCCTGCTCCTCTGCCCGCCTCGGCCCCCGGCGGCCCGCCCGCCCCACACAGCCTGTCCAGGTTCAGGTGCAGGAAGGTAGCGCTGGTCCTCGTGCAAGGGAGGGAGGCTGAGGGCCACCTGCAGCTCCAGCTCCAGCGTCTCCTTCTTGCCCTGCAGCGTGACGGTCTTGAGCGTGTAGCGCCCGGCGTCGGTGAGGTTCAGCTTCTGCACCAGCAGCGAGCAGTTGGCGAAGCCCACCGCGCGGCCGGTGTGCGCGGGGCCGCGATCCAGTTGCCGGAGGGCAGCTGGCTGCGCAGCCGGCTGGGCCCGGGGGTGGGCCCGCGGTCCTTGGGGTAGCCCTGCACCGTCAGCGTGACGTCCTGGCCCTCCGTGGGCTTGGCGGGCACGGGCACCATGGACATGGCCACCACGGCCGCTCTGGGGTGTCATTTCTGCTTTGGGTGAAAGAGGATCCACCCTTTGGATGAGACCCAGCCTGTTCGCAGGAGGGAGGAGGGGAGAAGGAGGAGGGGGGACGGCGGCTCCCACTGTCCCCGGGGGACGGGGGCCACTTGGGAAGGAACCGAGAGGGGATTAGTCAGACCCTCACGCCCAGAGCCAGGTTCCCAGGGGAGGAGGCAGTGTCCCCTGAGGCTCCTGAGGCCCTGAAAGTGCCAGCTGTGCCTGCGGGCCCCAGAGCCCCAGCCCCCAGGGCGTTTGAGGACAAGGATAAGACAGGGCCGCCCAGCTGTGTTTTTCCATAGGCCAAAAATTGGCTGTGATTTTCCGAGAGAGAGAGAGAGAGAGAGAGAGAGAGAGAGAGAGAGAGAGAGAGAGAGAGAGAGAGAGGGGGGCCCAGTGTGTGCCCACACCGTGGTCTGGGCCAGATACCGGGGTAATCTACTGGCTGCCCAGAAACTCAGTGGCCTCCCGCAGGGCGTGGGTCAGCCCCTTAGCGGCTGCGACTGAGTTAAGAGCAGGGCCCCCTCTCCCCACTGCCGCTGTGCATTGTGCAGTATCTGATCTTCAGTTAACACATTACTACCCTGTTTCCCTGAAAATAAGACAGTGTCTTATATTAATTTTTGCTCCCAAAGATGCGCTAGGTCTTATTTTCAGGGGATGTCTTATTTTTCCATGAAGAAGAATACAGTACACATTTATTGTTAAATGAAAATAAAGGAAATTTATTACCTGTATACGGTACGGTAGTACGATAGTTGTCAACACAAATCAGACAAACTGAATCCTACAGTATCAAGAATTTACTCATTTATTCAATGACAATCATGTCATCATCTTCTGGAACATCATCGTAACAATCCAATTCCTGAATTTCCTGGTGAATTTCTTGTGACTCCATTTCTTTCAGAATCAGTGGACCAAATCTCTCATGTTTAGCAATAGCACTGTCTTTAAATCAGTACTTCTTGTCAAGGTAGCCTGCTTGCAGTGCATTTGCAATGCAACTGTCAGTGATTTTCTCCCATGAATTCTTCACCCAAGTCACAACTTCTTGCAGTTTAGGTTTCACAAAGTTTCCACGCTGATTTCTCTCCATTCTATTTTCAGTGTAGTCATTAATTTCCATGCGCAAATTGTCTTTGAATGGCTTGTTTATTGCAATATCAAGAGTCTGGAGATAGGCCATCATTCCTGCGGGAATCATTATCTGATCTACCATATTTTCCGGCGTATAAGACGACCCCCTAATTATTTTTTTTTTACAGTTAAAACATAGGTTTAGGCCTATATTCGCTGTATATGATCACCCCCCCCCCCCCCCACTTCAAAGAAAAGACTTACTTTGCCATCAAGATCTGCAGGTAATTTTTGTGCAATTTTGGTCTTTTGCCCCCGATTTTCGGTTGACTTTTTTTTGTTTCAAAAGTCGTCTTATACGCCGGAAGAAATGTCTTCATGTCTTTAGCACAGTGAGTGCTGGCTGCATCCCAGACTAGCAGACCTCTTTGGCTCCCTCCCATAACAAGCGGCAGCATTAAATCGACCCACTTCCTTATAACTGCTTGTGTGGCCCAGGCTTTCTCAGTTTCAAGAATAAAAACGGCCAAAACCAGTTTGGCTCAATGGATAGAGCGTAGGCTTGGGAACTAAAAGGTCCCAGGTTCGATTCCGGTCAAGGGCATGTACCTTGGTTGCGGGCATATCCCCAGTAGGGGGTGTGCAAGAGGCAGCTGATCGATGACTCTCTCTCATCGATGTTTCTAACTCTCTATCTCTCTCTCTTCCTCTCTGTACAAAATCAATGAAATATATTTTTTAAAATGTTAAAAAAAAAGAAAAAGAAAATGCCCAAAATACGTTCAATCTTTTCCTTCTTGCCCTTAAAAATGATTAAAGGTGGGATTTTAGTGCCATCCAGACGAATTACCAAAATACAGGAAACACGTGAATTTTCGTAAGCAGTGGAGGGAATGTACACTAAGGAGGCACCCCGCTGTTCAATTGTTGTTTGAGATGATTGGCCCATAAACACTGCAGTTTCACCCATAGCAATCATGTTGGAAAGATTGTATTTAGAGAAGTCAGCATCATCAATGAAGGACTTGAAAGCAAGTGCTCGCTTAATAACTTGAGTATCTTCCAACCTAAACAATGTTGTACTGGTAGATCTTCTTAAAGACAGTTCACTTCGCTGAAGGAAATTATCCAGCCAGCGTTGTGATGCTTTGAAGTCTTTGGGTGCTATGTCAAACTGTGGTGCCATTGCAAGGGCAAATTCTTGAATCTGAGCCCTATTCACAACCAAAGCCTTTGCTCTCCTGTCAACAACCCATTCACAGATCAGGTCTTCCAGCTCGGAAAATAATGGTTGCCGACCTGATCCACACTTGTGCTTTTTAGCATTTCCCTTGTCCACTTGTTCAATGAGGTTACCATACTCTGCTCGCCATTTTCAGACCAATCGGATACTCAACACCTTCTCTTTGCAGAAAGCAGTAAGATTTTGGCCCCAAGAGTATTCCACGATTCTTTTCTTGTACTCCATGGAGTAGCTTTTTCTTTTTGCGCTCATTTCTAGGGGTAAAAAAAGGAATTGGGGTATCAAGGTGGGGGGAGGGGGATCACTTAAAATGACACAGGGGGGATCAGAGGGGGGAATCAACATGGCACAGGAGAATCAGAGGGGGGATTACCATTTTAGTAACCCCTTTTGATCCTCCTGTGTCATTTTGATTGCCTCCTCTGATCTTCCTGTGTCATTTTAAGTGATCCCCTCCCCCCACCCCTGTGCCACTGAACACCTTCACCAGACATCCCCCCTACCCCTTTATCAGACATTTACCCCCTGGGGCCTGCCTGGGGACTGTCACTGGGCTTTTGGGGCCTGGATCTGGGATGGAGCAGGGTCTGCCACTGACTAAGAATCTTCAGTCATCATGAGGGCGGCCACGAGCATCAGGTAGTGTCACCAGAGACAGACCAGCACTCTCCACCTTCTCCGCATCCTGTCTGCTCTAATCCTCCTGTTCTTCTACATGCATCTGCGAAAGTCTCCTCTCTCCCGCCCGCCCTCACTGCTCACTCCCACCTCCGCTCCGCCTCCACACAGCAGTGACGTCAGGACTCCGCATAACGTCACTGGTTCTAGACGCCAGTTGGGGTGGCCCTAGGGACCAGTTTACGGTAAATTAATTTTCATTCTGAGACAGAGCCTAGGGGGGCGTTATTTTCGGGGGGGATGCCTTATATTTCACTCAGAAGGAAACCTGTAAGTAGGTCTTATTTTCTGAGGATGTCTTATTTTCGGGGAAACACGGTAGATGTCATGTGGGAATTCTCCTCAGTTTGGTGCTCTCTGCTGGGGAGCGCAGCTTGGGGATCAGATCCCAGAGTTCTCAGTGGCACCCCCCACAGCTGAGATAATCTCTCCCGGACTTCAGCTGCCGTCTGTGGGAGCCCAGCCAGCCCCTTCACCTCCACCCCTCCTACCAGTCTGTATGCGGTCTCCACCTTCGGTCCCTGGGATCAGGGTTCTCTCCTGTGAGTTT